TTTTACAGAGAAGAAGGGAGAGGGATAGAGAGTTAGAAACATCGATGAGAGAGAAACACCGATCAGCTGCCTCCTGCACATTCCCTACTGGTATGTGCCTGCAACCAAGGTACATGCCCTTGACCGGAATCGAACCTGGGACCCTTCAGTCCGCAGGCCGACACTCTATCCACTGAGCCAAACCAGTCAGGGCTATTAAGAAGTTTTGAAATAAATAGGTTGGAAACCAAAAGCCTGTAAATTTATATTTTTTATTAATATTTGCCTTCTTGCCCTGGCCAGTTTGACTTAATGGTTAGAGCACTGCCCCACAGACTGAAGGGTCCTGAATTATCAGTCAAGTGCATGTACCTGGGTTGCAGGTTCCCCAGGCTCGATCCCTGATTGGGGCAGGAGGCAACCAATAGATGTGTTTCTCTCACATCAATGTTTCTCTGTCTCTACACCTCCCTTACATTTTCTCTAAAAAAAAAAGTCATAGGAAAAATATCCTCAGGTGAGGACTAACTACATTTATTTGCCTTCTTTTTAAGTAGTACTAAAAATGTTTGCCTAACTTTAAGTGACACCTAGTGGTTACTCAAATTACCAATGAAAAAAATATTATTGTGATTGTCTTTTGGTAAATTTAGTGTATGCTCAGAACCCATACCTCTCTATTCCAAAGAGTAAGTAGGCCTGGCCAGTGTTGCTAAATGGTTAGAATGTGTCGGATCACCAGCCCAGCTGGGCGCATGGAGGAGGCAACCAATCAATGTGTCCCACTCACATCAATCTTTCTCTCTTTCTCTCTCCTCCTTTCCCTCTCCTTCCCTTTCACTCTCTCTTAAAAAAAAAAAAAAAAATCCATGGAAAAAATGTCCGTGGGGGAGCATTAACAACAAAACCAAAGTAAGTAGGAATGCTAACTGCAAAAATTATCTATGCCTTCCATACATACTCAAAGCACTGAATTCCTTTATAAATTCTGATATGCATACTTCTAAACAACCATTCCTAAGTAGCTTTTAAAAACAGTACATTTTAAGTCAACTTTTGCCCTGAGGAAGAATTTTTATGATGATTCTATTTCAATTCAAATAATCTCTAAAATTAGCTACCAAGTAATGATACTTGTTATGTGAGAAACCATTCTGGACATCAAACAGTAGCCCCCAATAACCAATTCATCATTTGAGTTCTGCCAAGATTACAAACTAAATTTCTTAAATATGTCTCCTCTCTTCCCTCCATCCCTGCTGCCACAACTTAGGTTCAGATTTTCAATTTATATTTAAACTATGATGTCTTGTAATTCAATTTCAAAGTTCTCATGTTGTTTCCTACTTAAATCCCTCCAAGGACTCTCCTTTGTTTACAGGATCCCAAGTTTTTAGTTTTAGCATGGCATACATGGTATTCCATCAACCTTTCATCTTTTCCTTCCTACCTTCAACTTTATGCTCTAATATAGAAGGATCAGCAAACCTTTTCTGTAAAGAGCCAGATGGTGAATATTGAAGCTTTAATGGTCATATGCTCTCTGTAATAACTACTTAAATCTGTGGTTGGAAAGCAACAGTATGAAATATGCAAATGAATCAGTATGCCAATAAAACTTTATTTATAGACTAGGCTGCAGATCCTATTTGGCTCACTGTCCAGAGTTTGCTACCTCTGCTCTAGACTACGGAACCATTTGAAATTTCTTGCCTATTGTAATTATACAATAAGTTTGATGGCTAATGAAATGTGTACTGACATTTTCTTGTGTTTTACAACTACCTGAGGTTTTATTTCTAAGAAAGTAAATATTTACATATAACCTACATAAATGCTCTTTGGTGTTTCCAAAATTTTTAAGAGTGAACAAGGGTTCTAAGGTAAGAAAAAATTGATAACTGCTGATTTATTTCAATCTTTTCATGTTATAAAAGAGAAGTAAAGCACAGAGAGGTTACCTAGCTTAGCCATGGGCAACTGGTTGGCTGGTGGCAGTATGCATTATAGTATACTAGAGGCCCGGTGCACGAAATTCATGCACAGGAGAGGGGGTGTCCTTCAGCCCAGCCTGCACCCTCTCCACTCTGGGACCCCTTTGGGGATGTCTGCCTGCCAGTTGGGCTTAAACTGGCAGGCAGACATCCCTCTCACAATCCAGGACCACTGGCTCCTAACTGCTTGCCTGCCTGCCTGCCTGATGGCTCCCAACTGCCCTCTCCTGCCAGCGGCCTGATCACCCCCAACTGCTCTCCCCTGCTGGCCTGATCACCCCCAACTGCTCTCCCCTGCTGGCCTGATCACCCCCAACTGCTCTCCCCTGCTGGCCTGATCACCCCCAACTGCTCTCCCCTGCTGGCCTGATCACCCCCAACTGCTCTCCCCTGCTGGCCTGATCTCGCCCCTAACTGCTTGCTCCCCTGCTGGCCTGATCACCCCTAACTGCCTCTGCCTTGGCCCCCACCACCGTGGCTTTGTCCAGAAGGCAGGATGACTGGAAGATGTCCAATCGACCCGGTCTAATTAGCATATTACCCTTTTATTAGTATATGATTGATAAACATCCCATATATATATGAATATCCTATATAATGAGGAATATGTTAATTATCCATTATGCCCTGAGGTGTAACGACCAAGCGCATCACAGCCAGATCACAGATCAGCAGGAGGGTGGGCCAGCGAGGTACAAGTGGGCTTCGGAGAGCTACAGGAGAGTGCAGGGCAACAAGCTATGAGGGGGTGCGGGGGGAGATACAGGAGGGCGGCAGCGACCTACTGGCGCACGGATTCGTGCACAGGGCTACTAATATATATATATACACTATATAGAGTTTCAGAGTTGCTGCTTCCTCGGCTTATTTTACTCTTCTAGCATAAACACAAACTCAGAAATTCAAAACTAGAGCAGTGGTTCTCAACCTTCTGGCCCTTTAAATACAGTTCCTCATGTTGTGACCCAACCATAAAATTATTTTCGTTGCTACTTCATAACTGTAATGTTGCTACTGTTATGAATCGTAATGTAAAATCTGATATGCAGGATGGTCTTAGGCGACCCCTGTGAAAGGGTCGTTCGACCGCCAAAGGGGTCACGACCCACAGGTTGAGAACTGCTGAACTAGAGGATTCTTAGTAAATCATCTGAGAACTGGCATTACTAAGGTCTTCTTCAGTTCACTGCTTTTTCTACTTCACAAGGCTATATGTGTGGGCAAACTGATCAGGGAAAGTGAATTTATTTTTATAAAAGTCTGATTAGGTAGCTAAACCCCCTAAAGATAAATAAATATTGAATCATCAGCACCACTGCTTCTCCCCATTTATGTAGAAGATGTAAAGTAATTAAGGTACTCATTTCATGGAGAACTCACCCTCATTACTACTACTAGAATGGACCTCAGGAGATGAATCAGACTGGGATGATGAAAATTCTTCTTTCCATTTCTTTCGTTTCTTTGGTGGTGGCTCAGCCTTTACTTTTAGCTGTTTACCTTTGGGTTTCACGGAAGGGGCTTTTGTAGTCGTTTTTGGTGCTGGAGGATCAGAAGTTTTACTGCTATTACTAGGCTTCGCCTGAACAGTTCTGTAATGTTATAAACAGACTTCATTAACACACTGAAATCTTGTCAAATTAAAGTAAATTAGAACAAATGAAAACAAACAAAACCAAAAGAGAAAGACTGGAGAACACTTTCACTTCCTCAACAACAGCTCCAAAATAAAGTCCAAGTCCTATACCTCTCCAATGCTGAATCCCCCAAATTCTCTTGAAATGCATTCTTTAACTACTGACATTCAATACTCAGTTACTAAGGGACTATTAATTCAGTCCCTATTTCTCTCTCTTCAATACCCCCTCTCTTTATGAACTAATTTCCCCAAATATGAGGCTGTATAGCACAGGGGTGGGCAACCCCTGGCATGGGTGCCAAACATGGCACGCCAGTAACTTTTGCTGGCACGCGAAACCCTCTCTTATAATCTTACATTTACAATTTTTTTCTTAATATCGACTTTTTTATTTTTCAGATAAATTCAGTGTAGGTGCATCTTAGATAAATAA